TCCTCTCTTCCTTGCTCCAGCGAGTCTTGACTGTCTTGAGATCTTTCTTGGGGCATTATTTCTTCAAGAGCATTTGAGTCCGTTGAAGGGACTGGTGACAAGTTTGTACCCCGATCAGGCGCACTAGATGGACTCCACGCCTCAATTAGATCATGAGGGGGCTCGACGTGGAGATTTGCCGGCGACACGGTATACTTTACTCATCGAACGTGGGCCACTGCTTTTTGTTTTGCAATGCAATTTCTTAGCCATCACCAGAATGTACTCATCAATAGAGTTGGGTGGACGTACCTAGACGGCAGACACCATGACGGGTAGCCTGACGGGGCATATGTATTGTTGGCAACACTCTCGTATTGATCGATGACGCTTTCACAATCGAAAGGAGGAATCATCATCTCCATCACGCAGATCTAGAAGAGGCCTAAAGGACATGTCTCGGCCCCCAAGGTTTGAGGGGTTCGGCGGTAACGTGCATATAACATCCCAGCTGCCGCTACTTAATATCACTACAGACAGTATACCACCTTCCAATCACAGCCATACGCGCGAGGCGACAAGCCAATGATAAGGACTCCGGACAGTGTAGAAGTGAGCGGTAGCATCGTCGCGTAGAACCCATCGGTCGAGCTGCAGCTTCTCAGCAGAACTGCATCCCGCGTTCCGCGACTCGAAATTGGCTACCTAGTTGGTCCGAGGACGTGTACTTTTCGTGAAACTGTACTGTGCATTCGAGCTCCCTGAGGTACGGCCATATGCAAGCGCTAGGTATTTGTCAAGTCGTGTTTTGGTGCTCTCGAGTACGTTTTCTGGAAGTCGCGCTTCCGGCGATGCGCCTGAGGCGGAGCTCGTCATGGACCACACATCCTCGGCGCGAGATTCGGGTGGCCAAATGCGGTCCGAAACGATGAGAACGTGGAGAAGATTCAAGGTTTACTGTAATTGTCAACATCTAGGGAGAGCTTTCCTCTGTGTTGGCCCTGCCGAATTCTGGCACATGTAGATATAGAGACGAAAGGCTCATACTAACTAACGAAAGCTGACACTGGCCTGTAGCATTTGCCTCCAATTCACGAGAGAATTTGTCGCGCAGGGATTGCATTGAATGGTGAAGTTGGTAATGAGGTCTGAATAGACTTGACTTTAGATAGTAGATCTCCAGATCTCCAATCGTGCCCAAGTGAATGGGTGTCGGCGGCGGAAATTTATGGAGACAGCTGCTATCTAGGTTAGACAGCTTGTGGACAGCTGTCATCCAGCTGTCTCATCTTCTTAATGCATTGTTGTACATAGTACAATGTTCACTGAACGGTGTGGCTCAATCTCATACCTAGGTATGTGGCTTGTGGTCCGTTGTTGCTTACACCGCTTGCCTCACCCTGCTAGTGGAAGGCAAACGTTTTCACATGACCCGAGTAGACAAACTTCTAACATGCCACTGCAGGTACTCGCAGCTCACAAGCATACGGCGGCACTGTCGCAAAAACGGGTTTGGCGAGCCTTACAGTCAGAATCACATTCGAGTCATCATTTGTGAGTTCAGCATTGAGCAAGAGTCCGTTCAACATTTGGTACCACCGAGGTCTGAGTTTACAAAGACGAGGAAGACCCGGGATGTGAGCATCCCATCCATCCCATTTTTACCGAGCTCATCTGATCTTTAGATACCAGTGTTATCTTGAAACAAACAATGTGTCTTCATTCAATATGTCTTCATTCAATATGTTTTCATTCGTACGGCCCCCGCACTATGGCACTGGTTTAGTGTCAACGTTGCATGATCAAGTACCTAGTGAATGCTTGCATATTTGGGCAGGAATATATAAACCAACGTTTCCTCTTCAGCTGTTCCGTATTCTTCCTTCTTCCCTTGCTGACTGTTACACCGCGCCGTGCACAACTTACTTACATACGGGGAACGCCGCACAATTCTACGAAATACCTAGCTACTATAAAAGAGTTCCAAGATACGGGACGCTTGACCATGGCGAACACCACCTCTAACTCCCCACTTCTGGATAGTGACGACCCCATGGGTATACTCCATGCTCTTCTGGGCCCGTGGGCCGGGAGACTGGAGATCACCCAGATAAGCTCTGTGCTCACATTAATCGCCTTCGCTTTTGGTACCTTACGATGGCTGTTCGGTTCCACAGCGAAAACGGCCGATTATCTTCGCAGCTATGTCAGCGTCCGCGTCGTCATACCCCAGGGTAGTGAGATGTACACATTTGTGAACGACTGGCTCGATCGTAATATCCTCCCACGACGACTTCAACAGTCATTCCAGTTCCGGGAAGCAAGAGACCGTCCCTCGGACTACCCGAAAGTTACACGTCTCTCCTCCACGGCTCAGGGTCTTGGGGATGGCGGGGAGGTTCAGGACTTCGAAGAACGCCCCATGGAGTGCGCACCAAAACTTTCCTCTGTCTGGTTCTTCTACCAGGGGCGCTTCTTCACCGTATCACGTGTTAAGCACAAGAGCTCCGACGACGATTCGGAGTTTTGGGAAGACGAAGATGATCAGGGTTTCGGGAGTGCTAAAAGCATGGTTATTACCTGTCTCGGATACTCCAGCCATCCTGTGCTCGAGTTTCTCCAGACCTGCCGAAAACAGGCCAGAGCATCTCTGAAGAAGAAACCCGAGCTACGATATCGTGAACAAGACGGCACTTCTTCGCATTGGTGTCTCAGAGAAACAGTGCCGGCACGCCCGCTGTCGACAGTCCACATCGATAGCCATGTGCTGAAGGATCTACGTAGGTCAAGCAGCACGCTTTGGAAAATACTTTCCTCCACTAATAGATCCCACAGTGAAGGATATTGAGAGCTACATCAGCACGACGACTCGCCGTCGTTATCTGGAACGTAGTATTCCCTACCAGCGCGGCTATGTGAGTACACTTCGCAGCTCTATCACACCCATCTTGGCGAAAGATGGGAGGGTGTCTCTTTACTCACATGAGCGAAAGCTGTTGCAACATATTCCAATACTCTGAGTATACTACCGCATGGAAAAAGAAGCTCGCTAACATGCAGATGTATCAGCTCCTACATGGTCCGCCAGGTACAGGCAAATCGACATTGGCCTCCGTTCTGGCAGCACGGTACGGCCTGGGTATGTTCAGAGTGCAGCTGATGCAGGTCGACAGCGACGCCCGCCTAACGCGACTATTTGAGAGACTGCCATCCAGTTGCATTGGTGAGTGCTGTTCAGATCCCTCGACTGGTACTCTTGCCCTACCTTGAGCAATTCATCCACAGCCTACGAAATGACCAAGAAATTTAACAGCTACCGGGGTGTCGATTATACAGAGATATGCTGACTTTTTTTCACTGCAGTGCTCATGGAGGACGTTGATGCTGCGGGGATTGATCGCGAAGAAATCATTGACGAGCCGAAGAAACGGAAGACATCGGGATGCACGCTTTCGGGCCTTCTCAACGTCCTTGGTAAGTGTGAAATGCATCACAATCCGCATGCTCTTACCTAAAAGTCCTCGCCACGGTGATGTGTGAAAATTGTACAAGTACCTTGCTGACGTCCAAGCAGATGGCGTGGGAGCGCAGGAGGGCCGTATCGTCATTATGACGACCAACCGCCGCGACGAGCTTGACAGCGCGCTGATTCGCCCCGGTCGCGTCGACAAGCAAGCCTACATCGGCCTCATGTCCTCACACAGCGCAAAAGCCATGTTCGTGCGCATGTTTCGATCGCTCGAGCCCGAAACTGAGGAGGAGAAGGAGGGAGCACTAGCGGAGAAGTCCTCTGCCGAAAAATGCTGTCAAGGGACCCATGAGACCGAGGCCGACATCCAGAGGCTGGCTGCCAACTTCGCCAAGTTGGTGCCGGAAAACACCATCTCGCCCGCGGAGCTTCAGGGCTTCTTCCAGGTCCATCTGTTCTGCCCCATCGAGGCGTTGGCCGCGTTTGGCGACTGATTTGCGCAACTACAGGAGGACAAGGAGCAGAAAATGAGGGCGGGAACATAGCGCATTTGTCCAGCTCAATACTGGATCCAATCAAGTACATACTACCTCAGTAGGTGATACGAGCATTAGTTCTTCTGCTTCTCGTGGCTCAAGATCCAGTTCCTCAGCACGATCAGATATAATTGAGTGAGAGAAACAAGACAGTGCCTAGTGAAACACTCTCCAGAGTATATGTATTGATCGTATCCCCTGAAAAGAAAAAAGCGTGCACGTCCGTCCTGCAAAATCTTGGGTCCACTGTAAGCTGATCGAAGGATCCATAAAAGGGGCTTTTGATATAACTGCAGCACCCCTATCAGACATTCTTGTTGGGCTTACACCTCTACATTGCTGCTGTGACATTCGGTATATAATAAACAATCAATGCTTGCCTTCTGTAACTTGCATTACACATTACACAAGGATAACAACAACCCCACAAGGCGAGATAGAACAATAAGGGGCGAGGCCTCCACACAAGCGACACTCGGTGTATTCTTGAGGTATGGAAATGAGATATGTTACATACCACCTGAAGAGGCGAAAGAAATTATCGCTGAGAATAAAAACAGAGTTCGAAAAAGTATACTTTAACGTCATGTAGAGAGTCTTATAGATGGCATCCAGGATGCGACAGGAGAAAAAAAAATCTCACGCGATTGTGCTACAACAGTAGACGATATGAGCCCAGGCTCTGCAGGTATTTTAATAGATACATATTTGTGTACCTAGCTAGGTATCTATTCCCTATGACCTACCTACCTACCAAAATATTATCTACGCGTTCCGCCCAACGCGTCGATAGCAGCATCAGCATCAACAGTACACGCGTGATGAAGAACGCGACGCGAGCACCATATCATCCATCCCATGCTATATAACACGCAATCCCAAGTTCCCAGGTCAACAAGTGAGTCACTCCCCTCCCTGCCATGTTCATTCTTCCCCGGAGTTGCTCCGGTCAGGTTGGTTGGTTGGCGGGTTTGGAATATATAACGAGACTTAATCTGGCTGTCAATATCGCTATCGCCCATTTAAAGCAGTGGTTAGCTTGCTGCCCTCCGATTCCTTCCTTTGTCGGGCGAGGCAGAAGTCGCGGGTTCGAATCCCGCAATGGGTTTATTTTTTTCTTTTTCTTTTTCATGACCTTCCTTGTATATATTTGTTGGCTCTTACGAGGTGGTGCCTTGGAGCTGGATGATTATTGCTACTTGATTTCTTTTTGGTTTATATATAAAATTTATATATATTAAAGTGTATAATACTTTTAGAAAAGCTACATTATTTTACAGTTTTTTCTTTTTTCGCCCCCTTTTTTTCTTTGTTTTTTGCCCTTCTTATTTATAGTATTAGACGATTTTCTGGGTTATAATTTTTTCTTTTTCTTTATTCTTATGCAGAAAGGTGATAAGATTATTTGAAACCCAAGTAGTCTGTTCTGTCCCTGTCCCCGAAAAATAAGGGGTGTGGTAATTTATAAGGGTGGAGGTGATGGCATTGGCAGTTGCGGAGTAGTTATCCCATTACATGATACTTTGCTCCCTTCACTATCCTGGTAACTTTTTAGATATAATCAGAGTTACTTTAGGGGGTGCTACTGCTCGAGCTGCTGGGTACCAAAAGCTAGTACTGAGATACTGGTGAGCTGTGTCATCGAAGGGTTTAGGGCTATGCGTTACTTATCACAGAAGCAGGGGGTTGTTATAAAACAATTCACGTCATGTTTTCCATACGCTTGGCCCCATCATGCTGATGCAAATCGTCCCTGTCTGCTAGTATTATGCGGGTGTAGAATATATCTCTGTAGCACAAATCCACGGGCCGTTCTTTCTTTGCTTGCTCGGATCATTCAGCTTCATCTTGAATGCCGAGCTTCTCTCTACCTTCGGTCCACCATTTCGGTATCCACCGCGTTTTTTCACCGCCCTCGACGCAGTCGCTGTCGCACAGAGATCTGGCCGCCGCCCACCATGCCGCTTCCTGAGGGTCTTGGTGCAGACTCGCGGCATAGGCTCTGCAGCTCAAGAGCAGCAGCAGCTCTCCGGGTGAGACTGGCTGGAGCCCAGTCGGCCAGGATTCTGCGCCCGAATGGTTGCGACCATGCCGAGGTGGAGCCTCTTGCAGGCTTGATAGATTCTATCGCCCGAGCTTCCGAGGCTGAAGCCGGTCATTCTTCCCCCGAAGACGCTCTCGATGAGTTCAATTGCTGGGCGGCCACGACCCCCTTTGCAGCAGAGATACAGCGCCGCTCTACCGGCGAGCCCCGGGGCCAGGCGGGCTACTCTGGCAAATAGAACCAGGTGGTGTGTTAATATAGGTCTGATCTTAGCCGCTCCGGAATTTATGTCTGCTTTGCTCGGTTCTTCGAGCCCGTTGAAACTGCACGAGACAACACTGATACACAGGTTGTCGAGACACATTGTCAGCTGTGGGGCGATATGAAGCTGTAGAAGGAACTGGGTACAGGTGGATGCAACATCAGCAGCAGTTCAGACGGTAACCTTAAGTTGTGACTGAGAGAGATTTCTCACCTTCATGGAAGACAACAGGCGGTGGCATGCGTATCGCTGGTAGGCATGCCAATCTGACGACCAGTCTTTTGAAGCCCATGTGACTTTTGGGTTGAACATGACAGCTAGCGTGGTCTCTCCCGTGGGACGTTGCAGTATCCAAAGCCTGTTCGCCACGATTGGGAGATAGATTCCTCTGCTGATGGAGATTTCAACGATGGCTAGCAGGCTCTTTTGCACCGCGTGCAAGTCGCTAACCTGGATTGGGAAGCGCAGTTCCTCTCCAAGCCCTTCGAGAAAGCGAGCGAAAGTTACGACTTGCCCCATCTCGGGCGTCGGGTCAATGTACTCGATGGTACGCAAGGCGCGGCAGAGCTTAACAACTCGAACACCGCTGATAGATCTCATCTTCAACAATGTTAATAATGCCATCTGGCAATGATATCTTTCCAGGTCTAAACACTGATAGAGAGATGCATGATTAGAAAAGACGACTCCGAGTCAATCGATGAGATAGAGGATACATACTCGGTGCTCGAAGACAGTAGGCCTGAAACTAGGATCGCTTGACAGCCTAGCTCGGAGGTACGGATCAGCGAGGACCTTGTCAGCGAGCATGACATAGGCGACGCATTTTCTCAGAGCGGGTAGAGGTAACCCATGACGGTGAGAATCGGAGCGGCGTTGTTTGGAAAATGGCCGGCTGTGTGACAAGGATCGGCGAGGTTCGGGCTCCTCCACAGGGTTGGGTGGCGGCTCGGACGATGTACTGAGAGAACTGGGTACCGCGGGGAGATATCGTGGGCGGCCGTACATGGTGAAATTGAATGCAGACTACCAAGTGATGGAACAAGATAATAATAGACGGTTGCCTTCTGTAATTTGCATTACACAAGGATGGCAATAACCCGACAAGGTGAGATAGATGATGGGACAAGCTGGTGGGATGGGATGAGCTCGGTCTAGGTAGGTAATATTATAGACGACTTGCGATAACTGATGTGGATGGTGATGACCATGATGATGATGATGATGATGATGATGATGATACTGCTGCTGCTGATGATGGGATGCTGGGATACTGTTACTGATGAAGGGATTTGCACCGTGATGGTGAGCAGTGTTGTGTTTGTGTGAGGGGAAGATCTGCTTGCTGTTCTGCAGTGCCGGCGATCCTGGGACTAAATAACTAGACTATGTCTTATGAAGAGTGCTATCTCAATGCTGTAGCAACACGTGAAAAGCCTTTTAGTCAGAGCCACAATTTTATTTCTGGTATCTTTCCGAATTTTAACGTTCAATTATTGAACTTTACAAAACGATCGGCGCAAAATATAGCCCAGGTGGCTTAAGAAGCTTCTAACTCGCTCTCGTCCCTTAATTAATGAGACTCTCCCTGTGTTCCACACGGAATCCCATACCTTCTTCCTCTCTCATCACCCTAGCTGAGTAAAGAGAGAAAGTTCATAGCTTTCCAGGGTCCACCGATTTCCAAGGTACTTAGTACTACGTAGTTGAACGAGTCTATGTAGTAATCGTAGTCTGGTTGACGACTGTAACCCACATCCTCTCCAGGGTTCCTTCAGTCCAGTGGGATTACTCGTGTATGATAATTACATCTTTTTATTGTTTGTATTTATCAAGGGAGTGTAAAATGCAGATTAGCAACACCGCATAATATGGTTACTAAGCCGCAGCCACACATGAGAAGAAAATGGTGTAGTTTATAACCTTTTGTACTTCGATTGCTTTGCCCCGGCTAACTCCTAATAAGTAGCTAGGGCACACAAATCGATTTTTCCCCCATTTCAAATTCATCTTTAGTAGGCTATAAAAATGGTGCCTGCTAGTTCATTAGGACTCGAACCTAACTCAGCCTTCAGTGACTGTTTGCCAATCCAGGGGTTGATGGGCGGAAAGGGGGTTTTAGAGCAACAGCTCTCATGAATCAAGGTGTCACTTTAAGGGCAAACAAGGGACTACAACCAAGAAACAAATAGTGACCTGAAGCTCATATAGAAAGTATCTAAAAAGGTCTCAGACGATGCAGATTCTCGTCTTCCCCCTTTCTGTCCCCGGCTTCGCCTGCTTCCCGCCCGTATCCCAATGGACCCCCAATGCCTTAGTGACGGCGCTGCCAAACGCAGTCGATTCATCAACCCACTCGTTCAGTGCCCCGACACGTCTATATCTAGGCATACTTCCTGCGTCCTTCGCCGTTCCAGAAACCGGAGTGAGCAGCAATCCGAGGAGGAAAATCCATCTAGACGACAAGTCATCGCCATCTGCCATGATATCCTCATCTTCCTGGTCATCGGCGTCGGGCCCCTCGGCGCCCGCCACGGACACGAGTAGATCATCGGGCTCCTCTTGGCTCCACGAGGATACCCAATAGAGCGGAAGAAGATAGACTTCATCAGGGGGTGGCACGTCCCCGTCGAACGAAGCTGTCACGTCGTCGCTGTAGGGGAGATCCGAGGTGAACAGGCTGACGTTCCCTGGGATATCGCTGTACCGGTCACCAGAGCTTCTTGCTTGTAAGGGAAACGTGAGCTCCTCTGACGATGGTATGCTTCCGGAAATTGGGGAAGCCTGGAAAACACAAGTTTGTCGCAAGAGCCATCCGCTCAGCTCTATTTCGCCAGCAACCAGCTGACCGAAAGGATCACCCCTACCTGGGGCAGTCGATATCTTGTGTATGTCTACCAAGTCCAGCTTGGTACCGCCCAGGTCTGAAACTTCAGTATCGGTTTGGCTCAGCACTCTAGTTCCGAAGTACACGGACTTGTTGGTGGAGGCCCATGACCAGGAGGGGGCATTATACGGGCTCGCCACCTTGACGGACGGATTCAGCGAGCGGAAGCCGCTTCTACGACATTGCCAGGTGAGATCAAAGAGTATAGTATTGCCCCAGAGGCCTGCGTAGTACTCCCCGAGAAGGTCGTGACTGAACTGCTTGGCCACCCCGGCTATGGCGATCAGTCGATCTTTGTCGAAGGTGAGCAGGGTCTGCGAGTAGTTCTCCACCGTCTGCTGCCAGAGACTAGACCGCTTCCCGAGATGGGCTTCCTCGGCAGCTCCGTCTTTGAACATCCCCCTGGCCGCTCGGCCGGCGAGATACCACGCACTCGAGAGGGCGATCTCGGGACGCTCCTCCGACGCCCATACTCGGTCGCATTGCCAGTACCATTGGCCCGCGTCCATAACCAGGAGACGGTTTCCCAGGATTCGCTCTTGGTAGATCCAGCCGCGTTTCGAGGTCTCGGATCGGTTGAGCACCAAGAGATCGAGGTCGGGACACACGAGCTCGACTAGAGAATCTTCGGCGGAGGTATTTGCTCCACCCATGAAGCCCGACGGAATATCAGGAATATCTAGTGCTCCAGGGTAAGCATTTTATCCCGCTGGGATGAAGACAATGAAACAAGTGAGCGAGGAACCGACCTTCAACCCAACGCGCGGCATTAAATGGAATAAAGCATCTCCGAAAACGAGCTGCGTAAGGTAAACCAGCCAGCGGAAGCATCTCATAGGGCGGGTTCGACAGTAACAGGGTGATCGCCGAGTTCTGGTATATGCTATCCATAGTCAACGACTCCGTCGCCCAGTC